CTCCCGCTGTGCCAAGAACTCCCACGCTCAGCCCAGGTGCCTCACCTCCTGCCAAGGTGTGTGCTCACCCGCCCACAGAGGCCACCCTGGGACCCAGGCAGCCAGGAATGGTGACGTCAGGTCAGGGAAATGCCCAAGGAACCTGGCCAGGCCACACTCCCTCCATGAACTCCCCAGGCTCTAAATATAGACCACAAAAGACAGAGCGGGGTGACCTCCACCTGCCCAGTGAGAGATGGAAAGTGTTCCATCAAGGCCCGACCTGAGTCTGGGTACCTGACTGCTGTTTCTCACTGGGCCCCCAGCTGCCTCCATCACCTTGGTTGAGCCCAGGTTGGAGGAGGTGATGGCCGAGGCCCTTGTCACCTGGACATTGCCTTGAGCCCATTCACTCTGAGCCACTGTGTGCCTGGCAGGCCTCCCCAGAGCTGCACCCTCGGCCCAAACCCCATTCCCTGGGACCCTGTGAATCATCTATCATGTGCAGGGCAAAGAGGTGGGTGCAAAGTGGGAGGACTGGGCCAGGCAGAGAGGGGCTGGCGTGAGGCTCTGGGGATTGCAGCGGTTCTGTGTGAGCCTAGCCGGGTGTGGCAAGAGAGGACCCAGAGGTGCACGCTGAGGTCACTGTTGGTCTTTTGTCTTGGGGTCTTGCATCAGGGGGACCAATGGGATGACAGTGGGAAGGAGATGGGGCCCCAGAGGTCTGGCCTGAGCACATCTTAACCTGGAGGTGCGAGTGAGGGGAGGCCCAGTGGGGTCTACGGCAAACCCACGAGCACATGGCCCGGCTGGAGAGGGCAGCACCCGTCAGCTCCCGCCCAGCCTCCTGTCTTGCGGGAAAGAAGACCCTGCTTGGCTGGGTTGTCCGGAGTTACAGGAGCAGCGGGAAATGTGGATTTTTAGATGAAATCACCTGACCTTTTATTGTTGGCTCCAAAATTGAAAAACACTTTGCAAGCCAAACAAAACACACGTGTGGGCTAGATTAGGCCTGGTTCCCTTCCCGACTGTCAACTAGAAACTTGTCTGTTAAGCTTCCTGTGTTTAGAAGGATTGCGCTGGCGGCAGCGGTCTGTACAACCATGTTCTCCAGGGCTGCTTGTGCCCCACCCCGGGGAAGGGCAGATGCGCTCCCCAGGAAAAGGCTGGGAACCTGGGATGGCTGGGGGTGGGGTGAGCTGGGAGCAGGAGGAGGGAGGCAAGGAGGGACACCAGTTTGTAAAGCGCCACACTCCCTACGGTGCTTTGTGCTCTCTCTTCCTCCCAGCGGACCCTCCAAGGGCCAGGGTTGGCATAGTCTTGATTTCAGCCTCACCTGAGGTCCCCAGGGCTGTCTCCAGCCCCATCTGAACTGCATGGTTCAGTTTCCCAGCTGCCCACGGCCTCGGGCCGTGTGTGTTGTAAGCCCCCAGACCCTGGTGTTGTAAGGATGCTACAAGTGCCCCAGGTGCGGAGTGAGGGACTCGGGAAATGGTGATGCTGGCCGGGTGTCGCACTGGCCCCGGGTCTGGAGAGTGTTGCCCTTCCTCCGTGATGGCTGGGAGCCTTGGCAGCATCAGAGAGTGAGTCGCAAACTCTGTTCTTTTTCTTTTTTGGAAAATTCCAAATAGACATGAAAGTAGGGAAAATCTCAGAAAGGTACACAGCGGACTGACCACCAGTGCGGGGCCACTCTTGTGTCTTCTCTTACGGGACCCACGCCCTGCCCTCCTTCCCAGAGCAGACGATCTTTATATAAATCCCAGGGACGATGTTCCATCCATCAGTATTTTAATATGTTACTCTAACAGTAACTGAAATCCCACCATCGCACTCCAGAACTGATGTCAGCTATGTCCAGTAGTGTTCAAACAACCCCAGTTGTTTCTTAGGGCTTGTTTTTTGGTTTTTTTTAACAGTTACCCTTTTCAAATCACAATTCAGAATCCACTGCATTTGGTTACTATCTCTCAACTTTCTTTTAGTCTACAGTTTCTCCTTGTTTTTTTCCCCTGAAATGTATCTGTTGAAGAAACTGAGCGATTCGTCCTGTGCTGATTCCCAGTGTGGAATTCATGGGGATGCATCCTCACGTGTGCTTAACACGGTCCTCGGTCCCCTGTAACTCTGCCAAATTCCTCCATGCAGAGCCTGGTTGGATTCAGGTTAGGTTTTTGGCAAGAGCACTTCTTGGGTGGCTACGGGTTCTCCCGTTAGGTGGCGTGTTCTGTCCTGGTCCCCTCTCTGGGGGGCTAGCCCTGCCCTTGGTGAGAGGCCTACCCCACAGCTTTAGGGGAGGATGATGAGAGGAGACGCTGGAGGGCTGGGGAGAGGGCCTCGCACGCAGGAGGCGTCCGCTGACTCGCAGCCCCTGTTGCTAACGGTGTGGGCAAAGTCTCCAGCTGCCAGCCAGCCCTGGGGGTGGTTGGAGGTGCCCCACCTGTGCCGACTGAGGGTCATGCAGTAAGAAAGGGATGGAGTCAGGCTTCAACCCAGGCATTTCAGTGCCAGAACCTGTCCTTCCATGCTACACTGCCACCTGGGAACTAGGGGTGTGTGTGTGTGTACGCGTGTGCGTGCAGCTGGAGCAGGGAATAGCCTGCCAGGACCAGGGAGGGGAGCCCAAAGCAGGGGTGAACAAGGCAGGGAGGGGACCGACACCGACCAGAGCCCCGCTCCCCGGCCCTGCCCGCTCCCACCATGTAGATGGTGCCCAGGGAGTCAGAGGTGAGGCGGCCTGGCCGACTGTGTTGTGTCTAGGGTGGTGATGAGGCTCCTCGCCTCTCCAGCCTGCTCAGGCCCTCCTAACTCCAGCCGGCTTGACCTTCAAGGTCAGAGAGGTGGTGACATTGGTGCACTCAGGAGTCACTTGGCCTCCATGGGCCCCTTTCTCCAGCTGTTAAATGGGTGTGAGCTTGCTTGTCAAGCCCCTCCCTGGGAGAAAGAGATAAAGGGACCAAAGAAAAGAGATAAAGTGAGGCAGGCAGGTGCTGGAGTCCCCAGGCACTGAGAGGAGTGGCTGGCCTAAGGCAGCAGCAGGGTCCAGGTCACCCCTCTGTGGCTCTCTGAGGACCTCCTTCCTCTAAAGACACCCTACCCACCTCACCTTCCCTTGGGGCTCCCTAAACAACCTCCCTGGCATCTCCACCCCAAGCCAAATCTACCCATCTAGCTTTAAAACAAAAACAAAAACAAAAAACAAAACCCAGCATTTATCATGACATGTGCATAATTACTAAAGTATTTTAGAAAAAGGAGAAAATTCCAAGAAGTAAAAAGGAAAAGCTGAATAGCGCCATCCAGAAACAACCACCCTTACTTTTGCAAAGTATGTCCTTCTAGTCATACGCAGGCGTGCAGGGTCGACTTCTGAAAGCATGTCCCGAATCCTGGTTTTCTGACTTCACAGTGAAAGCAGCATTTCCCTGCGTCACTGTCTTACCACGGCGTGTAACGGCGTGCAGGGTCCTGTCAGTTAGAGGGTGTCTGAGTGGATTCGTTTGGCCGAGTTGCAGTTGAGGTGTCATCGAGGTTTCCATGAACATCCTTGTATAGAAATCCAGGTCCACACCTCTGAAAGCTTCCTCAGGGTGAATTCCAAAGAGTGGGCTTGTCAGTCAGAGGGTATGAGCGTTTTTAATGCCATCCCTAGAAACCACCAAACTGTTTTCCGTGCATCTTTGTCAAGGCCTTGCCTGTGCCCGATGGAGGACCACCCAGCAGGTGGCCTCACAAGTGGGTGGGAGCAGCTGGGGCCCCACTGTCCACGGATAGCTGAGGCTTGGCACACAGTGGGTGTGCAAGATGTGCTTATGGAATATGTGGTCTGGACCCGCCCTCTCATTTTACAGGTGGGAAGCTGAGGCCCAGTGGTGTGGAACCAGTTAACCGGTTCTGGGGAGGTTGTAGCTTGCTGCTAACCGCGGCAGGGCTCTGTGAGGGCTGAGGGCGGAGCCCCAGGCCCCAGCAGTAAGTTGGTCCTGTTCATTCATCTGTCTACTTGCCTCCTCACTGGCTTCTAGAAGGAGTAGCTGAGGCTCCCTAGCTCTGCCTCCTCCCCAGCCCTCAGCATCTTCATAGCCACTCTGACCGCTTCCCTGAGACCATGAGTGCCAAGCCACCATGGCACCAGTGAACCAGACCGGTGGCAGGTACTCAGCTGGGATCTGCCTCTCTTGACTCCTCACTCTTGTTTGTAGGCCCCAACCTGGTGATGCATGGTCTGGACTCTCCCCCTCACCCCCTGACTGCCCCTTCTCCGCAGCCTCATTTCTACCTCCTTGGGGTGGAATAGTGCCAGCAGAGGCCCCGCTCCCCCCTCCACTAAACACACACCACAACCCTCAGGACTTCCAAATGCACATGTGCACGGAGGACCTAGTCACGGTTCCAGGATTCAGGAGCACGCAGCCAGGCACAGGCACCGGCTGAGTGCAATACGTCAGTTACCCAGTGTGATCCTCTTGGATGAAGAAACAGGCTCAGAGACGTTAAGCAACTTGCCCAAAGCCACAGAGCTGAGGAAGGGCTTAATTGGGATTTATATGAGGTGGAGACCCACCGCTTGTCCACACGTTAACATGTACACAAGTCCCACACCTACACAACTCATGCACTGCACCTGCGCACGCACCCACACAAAGTGCCTAACCGTTGCACCCACAGCCGCGCAACACAAACTACACGTGCGTTCCGCAGCAGGCAAACGCCCAGCCCTCCCGCGGACGCGCGCGCGCAGGCGCGTACACACGCCCTTCTGGTGTCTCTAGCCTCGCCCCTTGTCCCCGCCCCCTCCACGCTGCCGGTCCCGCCTCCGTGTGCCGGCCCCGCCCCCGGGTTGACCTCAGCGGGGCCGGGCCGCGGGCTCAGAGCTCAGGCAGCGCCGA